AAGCCTGCTTCAGCAAAGAAAAAAACAACAACAACCATCTGTCTAAAATGTAGTCAAAAATATTAAATAAGCAGCAACATTTTTTCTTCCTCTTTGGACTGTTCCTGAAAGATGCTGCTTACACATCTTTGCATATAAAGGGATCTCTCTACTCGACACACAAAAACAATTTGGAAAAAGGTGTGACACCTATACTCAAATCATGAGACTACTTGATGTATACATTTACTATGCAATGTAATTAAATGAAATACTAAAAATTACCTATTCCTCCAGATAGATTTCTGAGAAACAAAACTACACTCAGTGTGCATTTTAATAATCTCTGAAATACATCATCTGAACAAAATTCATGTAGCTACAGCCCTAGGTGAGCTCACAACAGCACACAGCCTTTCAGCCCATTATGAACACAAAGTAGATATACATGATGTAGAAAAGCCAAGCTGGGGCTTTACAATAAAGCCTCTAAAAATGCACGTGCTAAGTACAGTACAAATCCGTCTCTAAATCATAATTCAAGTTATTTCAAAAGCAGCAGGTATTTATCCCGTTTCATAGCAGAAATAATGATAAACGCCGGGAAAATTTGACTAACGTCAAAGCGATACTATCTGCTTATTTAGTCCGGAAAAGCTTACTAAGAATTATGTGACTCTTTAAAGCTACATACGACCACGGAAGCCCACCCTGGTGACTGCCGGTGCCCAGTGTACGTAAGCACAACTAGATGGATCAGCAGGGAACGCAGGGGCAGCTACCAGGAACGGCAATGCCACCACACCGCTCTTCTCCTCCAAGACTTCCCAGTGCGTGTCCCTCCGAGCGCTGCCAACACAAACAGCCAGGTTTCACACATCCCCACCTGCCCAGCCCAAGGGGAGCCCCGCTACGCCCCGGCCCCCCACCACAGCCCCCTCCCGCCTGCGGGACGCGGCGATGCTGGACTAGGGGGAGGAAACACATTTCTTCCCTCTCTCCGATGCTCAGGTGCGCCGTCCTGTCCCTACACAGCCCTGATGCCTTTGCTGCTTCCCCCAGAAGGAAGGGGGCACCTTCCCGCTCCTCCAGCAGCGCCACACTCCGGGCTTAGGAACGATCCCGATGGCCTCTCCTCCCCTCGGGTCTCCCGGGAGCCGGCCCTGCCCGAGGGCGCGGAGACGGCCCTCGCTGCCACCTCCGGCGGTGGCCGGCGGGCCCGGGCGGGAGCGGCCGCGGTGGGAGGGGGCGGGCGGGAGCCGCGCCCGCCCGGCGGGGGGAGCGGCTGCCGCAGAAGCCCCCACGGGCGCCCCTGGGACCGAGGCCTCCTCGGGGCGGCCGCTTCCCCGCGGGGACGGGAAAGGGCCCGGCGGCCGCGGCACGGCGGGACGGGAGCGCGGGAGCGCCGCCACCAGCGCCATCGTTCCCCCCACAACCCCAACCCCAACCCCTCCGCCCTCCTCCTCCTCCTCCTCCTCACCCGCCCGCCGTTACGGAGCGCCGCGCCCGCCCCGTCTGCGCATGCGAGGCGCGGCGGCGCGGGGGGGCGGCCGGGCCCGCCCCCGGTTTCCTGTCCCTTCTCCCGCCCGCGAGCGCCCCCTGCCCGCGCGCCCGGCAGCGGCGCCTCCCGCGGGATGGAGCGGGGCCCCCGCGCCCTCTGCCGGGAGCCGCGGCCCGCAGAGGGACAGGATCCAGCGGCTTGGGAAAGGCCTCCGGGACCACCGGGTGCGACCTGCATACTGTCATACGGAGCCTGGCACTGAGCGACACATCCATTCTTCCCTTAAACACCTCCTGGGACGGGGACTCCAACAACCCCAACCCCAACCCCTCCGCTCCGGACAAACCTCCGGCGGCCGCTTCCTCTCGTGCCTGGCCGTCCCGACCGCGGGCGGCCGCGGGGAAAGCGGTGGGGGAGGAAGAGGATGCGGCGGCGGATCCGGTCTCTCTCCCAGGCTGCGGAGGCGGCGGCGGCGGCCCCTGGGCGCGCAGGCGCTGCTGCTGCTGCCCTGTGAAGAAATTCCTCCTAATGTCCAACCTAAACCTCCGCTGGCAAAACTTGGTGCCGTTTCCTCTCATCCTTCCTGTCGATGGTATCCAGGGAGAAGGGTCCGACCCTGCCTGGCTACGCTCTCCTTTCAGGGACCTGTAGAGAGCCATAAAATTTGCCCTCAGCCTCCTTTTCTCCTTTTCTAACGACCCCAGCTCCTCACAGGATTTGTGCTCCAGACTTGCTACAACCTGGAGGCCTGTGGGCTTCAGGGTTAACACCCAGCTGGGTCCTGTCCCCCTGGAGTCCTGGAATGTCCTTTGGCCAAGTGTGGGTTTGCTGCCCTAAAAGCAAAGCTCAAAGCTCACCTGAGGTTTGTGGGGACTGGAGCTTACTCTGGGATGGAAGGAATTGACAGGGGCACAGGAGGCTGAAGGGAGGTACGAGAGAAAGGAAAATCCTGAGAACATATACCTTTTTAAAAGCCATGCAGTGTCACTTATTTTCTTTATTTCTCTTTGGGTCCATCCACCAATAGAAGGGCTGGGAAGTGCACTTGAAAGAGGTGAAAGTATGATGGATGCAGAGCAGAGCTGGGGATTTAAAGCATACCAGACAAGTCACAGAGTCATAGAATGTTAAGGGCTAGAAGGGACCTTAAGGACCATCGAGTTCCAACCCCCCTGCCACAGGCGTGGACGCCTCCCACTAGGTCAGGTGGCTCAAAGCCCCGTCTGACCTGGCCTTGAACACTTCCAGGTATTTCATTCAACAACCTCCTTGGGCAGCCTGCTCCAGTGCCTCACCACCCTCACAATCGAGAATTTCTTACTAATATCCAGCATAAATTTCCCATCTCACTTTGTACTCATTGTCCTGTTGCTACAAGTCATGCAAAGTGCAAGAGCTGCTGTCAGCGGAAAGGACAAGCTTCGGCTGGGAAGGTCTGCAAGGAATGGATCAGTAACCCTTCCCAAACATTTATAGTTTGTGCTTTGGTACAAAGCATGTGTTTAATCTGAATGTTCTAGAAAGAAAAAACACATCCATTTTGGGAACTTCCCAACAGAGGAATACAAAGAATCTCTAAGCATCCATACCCCCTTGTTTTTCCCCAACCACTCACCAGCCGGCATAGCACATGCGCTGTGCTTTCCTCTCCTTCCACGTGCCCCTGTACCAGAAGTCTCCCATTTGGAGATGTACAATTCCAGAGCAGCAACTCAGAGTCTCACCTCCTCTAAAAAGGCAGGGTAGACTCAAATTGCAGCTTCACATTTCATAAATTCCCATGACACGTGGTGAAGTACACTGTATGGGAAGAAGTGCTTCTTCTGTTCATATGGAAATAACATTGCATTTGTCAGCCCCCTCAGCCATGTTAGGATGGAAGAGCATTGCTCCCTTTACTCAGTACTGAACAACTGGTAAACCCTGAAAATAAATGTAAACTTGCCTTGGTCTTCTGATTTTTTTTTTCTCCTGAAAGAATTGTTTTTAACTGCAATTTGAATCAAAAGATTGGTAATGTTTCCTTTTTTTTCCCCCCTAAAAATAAAAAAGTAATTTCCAACATTATAAAAGGGAAATACCAGATGCAGCTTAAACAACTGCAAGATGAGACTGCCAGCTTTCTGTACAACAGCTGAAGGCTTTTACAACTCTTCCTATCCGTGTGTTTTGATTTTCCTCCCACACAATGATTGAAAAACACTCCCTGCATCACTGTTAAATGTGCCTCAGGTGGGAGGAGGAGTGGACAAGTAGCAGCTGCCTGCCATAAAGAGGACGTGGTTAGTTTTTTGTAGGGATGTGAGCGGCAGCAGCAGCAGCAGCAGCAGCAGCAGCAGCAGCAGCAGCAGCAGCAGCAGCAGCATTATTATTGGACTTTAGGTTTTGTGGCTCTAATGGGGAGGGAGGAATAGCTTCTTGTAGAGGGTTTTGTTTGGTGGTTTGTTTTGTTTTTGTGGTGGTGTTTTTTTCCCCTTTTCTACACCACTCTCCTTCTCAAAGGTCAAAGTAATTCTTTGGCCTGAGGGAGTCTGTAGGGTTTCTGGTGCTTTCAAGAGCTGCACTGGCCACCCTAGATGGAAGCTGAAGAGGGCTCCAGCATTCCTAAAGCATTCTGAAACTCTAGGCCGAACCGTGTGCTAGTTTGTAACAGGTCTCAAAATAATTTTTTTTATTTAATTTTTTTTGTAACCTTGAAGTGCTTGGATCTTCTAAGTTCTGTGTTCTCTGATTTCTTAGAGTTTTGCTTATAAGTTATGTGTGATAGTGTTGTATTGCTTGCAAGTATTAGTTAACTGAGGAGACATCTAAGTGTGGGAGGAAGTTCTGTCTTGTGAATTTATATGGCTCTGAATGCAAACTCACACACAAGGATTTTGGGGGGGTTGTTTTTGCTACCTATCATTTGGTTTAAGCGTAGGAAGCAGGGTGTCACTGAAATACTTGGTTTACTACGTTAGTTAGCTGTTGTTCTTAAGTATAGTATAAAGTGCAAATCCTGAATTAATGGAGTTCTTATTGTAATGTGCAACAACGCATGCATTAGCATTAAAAAGTGTTTTCTTCATGAAGCATTAAATGTCTGATTGTGTGAAGCTGAGCTTTTTTTTTTTTACCATTTGTGTGTGTGTGGCCTCTTGCTTAAGGCTAATTCATTGAAGACTTTTTTTTATTTTTTAATTTAATTGGCTGGGATACTACTTGTAGAGATGTATGCCTCTAAGACTACTGAAGCTCTGTTGCTCTAGAGCATGTTACAAGGTTGCCTTGAAGGACTAATATTGGGAGCTGTGTACAAAAGCTTGCTTAGCAAAGCCCAACAGAAACACTTGACCTTGATAGCATGTCAGTTTGTTACCCTCTGTTTGGAAGACAGCAGCTTCCTTTTGGAAGGATATGTTTTCTTTGGGCAGGGAGAGGAATGTCTGCTAAATTCTGACTGAGCATAAAAATAATTAAGTCATGCAGTTTTTAAAGTGGTTGGTAATGATTACTTCTCTCTTTTAGTGCTTAAAGAAAAATGAATACTGCCTCAACTTCAGAAAGTGGATCATATTCCACAAACCACCCAGGACCCTTTATTTATGCTCAGTCATCAGCTCAACAGCCTTATCCAAATCCATGGTGCCTCAGTTATGCATACAGTCCATACTGCGTACCTGCTCCAGGTAAGGAAAACAGCAGCTCTCTGTGGGATCCTTTCTTACTTAGTTACATACTTTCCTCCACTCTTGCAGTATCTTGGGAGTAACAGTATCTTGCAGTAACTCTTGAGAGTTTAACAAATACTTAATAAATCGGATTTTTGACAACTGTAGCACTACGTTAATTGTGCCTTAAATATGTAGCTTCTGTGGTGGAAAGCATCTGCTTCTGGAGAATGGAAGCTAAGCACATACTAAGTAATGACCATCCTGCAGACACAGAGCTCCAGAACATACTTAGCAATTAATATGTGTGTGTATATGTGAATTCCACATGAGCATGCATGATAGGTATGGATAAATGTAAACTTAAGAAAATTAAAAAAAATATTGTTAAATACACCTTGTAAGTGCTATACCTCTGTGAGCTTCTGTCTGGAGCTGTCTTTTTCAAAATCAGTGTTATATCAACAGTCTGTGAAATAGCCAAAAAAAGCACAGAAATACAACTTGGTGAATGTTCCAAGGGATGAAATCAAGCTCTGGTTGAAGTGTAGATGTTGAGATAAGCTACTGCCTAATGAAGAACTCTCTGTTATTGCACCAGATTTGCTTCTAAGCATTGAAAGGTGGAGTGTTTTATTTACATATGTGTCTGATCTTGTAGCTGTCTCTGTCTAGTAAATATGATTCAGGATTACTTATTTCAGAAAGATATTTGTCTTTTCTTTTTGTCACCAATGTCTAGGCTTCCGAAGTGGAAATCCATATTTTCCATTTTATTCTGTTGCGCTCCATGAGTACCCTAGATTTTTTGTCCCACAGCACCCAGTGCATGCAAGAATTAACAGAAGGCCTTATTTTAATGGTGCCCCACCTTCCCCTATGTTTTATCATGCAACAAGATTTAGGCATTATAATAGCTCTGGGAAGAAAATGGAGACAAAAGAAACACAGACTGATCCTAGACAGCCTGAAAGCAAGCAAAAAAGGCATCAAGATATCCGTACAGAAACGAAAGGTTGTGATGCAGGAAATACAGCCTGTGTTTCTCCTGGTATAGGTACAGAGACTGAAACCACTTCAGAGAAACAAGATTCATTTGGCTCTTCTATTGTGGTAGACAGAGAGTTTCATAATAAGAACCCTGCCAGCTCTACACAGTACAGAAATCTTCCTACTGGAAGCTATGCCTTTGAGAAGGAAGAAGTGAGGATAGAATACGGAAATGGCTCTCCAGCTATTCAGCTGTGGAAGTCCTTTAAAGAAACAATCCCATTGTATGATGTGGCAAGCGGTAAACCAGTTCCAGAGAACATAGTGCCACATGACTTATTTTCTCTTAGCTCCTGTGAAGGCTTGCTATATGGCCCTCACGAAGGGGAGAATATGCTGCCAGGAGCTTCCTTAGATGAGAGAAAAGCTGTTGTCGCTGCCAAACAGGGTGCTGAAGCTGTGCAAGAGAAAGATGTCCAAAATAATGAAGTTAAGCTGGATGCAGAAAAGATGGCAAAATCCCCCCCAGGTGAAACCATGGCAGTGCAAATCACAGAGTTGGCAAGATCTGTTGGTGTAGATCAACAAGTGGTAATAGCTAAGAAATCTAGCACTAAAAGGGCTGCAGGATCAAAAACTTCTCAAGAAGAGCCTAGTTTTATTCAACAAGCAGGACTACTTCCATCTAATATGGAGGTAATGAGTGACTTTCAGCAGAAAAAGCTGAATTTAAGCCACAATGCAACCAATGAAAGGCAGACAGAAAAAAGTATTTGGTGTGACAAATCAATTGAGAAGTTTGCTCCCTCTAGCAGCTGGCTGGCTTGTTTGGACAGTATGGACACAAACTACAATGCTTGTTTGCCACAAAGGAAGCGTCGAAGTGTAATCAGTCTGTCCTCTGATGACATGTCCTCTGGAGAGGAAGGCTCATCTACTGATAATGCCCCAGTGTCTTATTTTGTGCCTGACAATGTGCTTCAGAAAAGCATGTATACTCTTCAGAAAAGTACAGATGGCTTAGAGCAAATTAAACATGGTGGATCCCCTAATGTAGATGAAGCGGTAGGAAAGGAGCAGGTGAACAGCCTCAATGACCAAGATGTCAACTCTTCAAACACAAAGATCAAAGAGGCTTCCAGTAAAGGCAGAAAGCTGGGAGCCCTTTCTAGGTCCTCTAGTAGGAAAGAAGTCGATTCTCCCAACAAAAAAGCAACTAAGAGCTTGTCAGAAGTTGAGGACTCTGAAGAATATTCTGCGAAGGGAGAAGAGGAAGATGGAGAGGATGAGTATGACGGGGATGAGGATGACGATATAGATGAAATTGAGTATTTCTTTCAAGAAGCCCCTCCATATGGCATCTTGAGGCCAAGTAAAGGAAATTTCTACCAAGTTGGCCAGAGAGTGCTTTGGAAACCATCTACAAATGCTGTACCAGCACAATTAATTAGCTGGCCAGCTCAAGAGAAAATAAAAACTAGGAGTGGGCTTGTTGAAAACATTGGTGTAGTTTATAAGCCAAGGAAGAGAGAACAAGATGAAGTGTACAGTGACTATGGGTATTATGGAAGAAAGAGGCCTATGACAAGAAGAGAAGGACTTGAACACCAGCGAATGCTATGGAAATTCTTGAGAGGTGAGCTAATTGCTAAGGACAAAGTGCTCATTAGCAGCATACACAAAGAACACCTAATTGCAGTTTCATATTGTAGCTTAAACTAGTGGGAAGATTAGAGCATGTTGTATCTTCAAATTTGGCCAAGAGCCATAAGTCCTGCAGAACACTTTCTGAAGCAGAGGGAAGTTTGCAACTTTTTAGCTACTGCATAGGGACTCTGTATTTTTACAGCCAGCAGAGAATAATGCAGAGACTCTCCTTTGTGTTAGATTTGATATACTTAACTCTCTGACATTAGTGGCAATTTATTAATTTGTAGAGTTTAAGGTTATTTGGATTATGTATTGACTGTTGCTTAATATCTTAGAAGCTTTGCATTTCAGTTTATACACTCTGACTCTCCTATCACAGACTAATGCTGGGTGCATTAAACAGAATTAAATTCATTATAATCTGGTGGACATACCCTGTGTAACTTTCCTGCAGCTGAGGAGTCAAACAATTTTTATTTTTTTAAATTGTAGCTGCTGCTCTCTTAGCAAAAACAGTTTTGTACTTTGAGAAAATTGGTTAGAAGCAGTATTAAATGTGGCCTGGGAAAGGACATCTTATTTATACCATGGTAGATCCTCTTAGAAATTGGATTAATGTAAACTGAGAATAAGAAGAGTTATCAGTTTGTCACTGGTTATATGGTCGCTTCAGCAGGTGGCTTGTGGATCAAACAGTACACCTGCATTACCAAGACTAAACACTGACCTTAATGTTTTCTTTTAATTTTAATTAGGAAGGCTGTTAAGAGAGAATATGGGGATACCACCTGAAGAGTACTGGATTAGAAGTGGTGCTAAACCCAGATTTACCAGCCAAATACGTGGTAGTTTCTCACCTCCAGCAAGGAGCAAAGAACAAGGTACAACTTTCTCTGTGTGTTTTTGTTCTTAAGGAACATCCAGAAGGATATGATACAAAATAGCAAGCATGTGATAGTTGAATAAGATTTGAAAACAATAAAACTAATCGTTCTTGCTTTGGTATTGATAAAATGCCTATCAGTCCGTGTATCTTGGATATATTTATAGCCTTCTCAAGCTGAAACAGGGTAATAAGGGTGCATCAGAGATACTTCTGGGGATTTTTTTAAAGGTAATTTTATAGGAAATCAAAACATTAAATGCTTTGATGTGGCCAAAGCAAAGCCTTTATTCGTGCGAAGTTGTTACTGCCATAAACTGTAATATTAATTCTTTATACAGATGATGCTATTCTTGATAGCATGTGCAGTGGTAGTTTCTAATTTTGATCACTAAAACGTGTAGGGAGTTCTATGTGGCAGCTTCATATACCAATGCTCAGAAAAATTACACAGTTGCCCTGACACCGCTAAAGAATGATTGAGTGCAAATCATTGTGATCTAGTTAAGGAAAAGATGAAGAAATCAGTTGTTTTAACAAAGTAATAGCTTAGATAGATAGTTTCATACCTCATGAAGCAGAATGTTTTGTTTTTTTCTTCTTTATATTTAATGTCTTACTTGGAGTTCAGATCTGGTTTTGATGCTTTTCAGAGGTGTTTGAGTGTAGGTGCTGTTGGAACAGCTACAGAATTTGCTGTAGTGTGGGTATTGCCACTCTCCTGGGTTATGTGTTTTGAGTATTTTGGGATCAGCCTATCAAATAATGGGGTGTGAGGCTATCTTCAGAACAGCCTGATTTGCTTCACTTCAGTTCACTGATAATATGCGTCAGCTTTCCTATATCAACAACCAAGTAGATAGTGTTTTCCTCTGTTCTTTCTCTACATTGCTTTCCTGCTTGAGCATATTGGGGTTTGGGATTATTTGCCTCTTGCATTGGAGGCTTTCTACATGCAGACTTCAGTGTTGTAGGGTTTTGTTTTTTAATGCTAGCATGCTCTATAAGAGTTGAAAACATTTTACTTTAGCAGCATTGCTCTTGGCTCTACTACAACAATGTATAAAAATATGGTAATAGTTCTAAAATAACTGTAAATTACCTTTAACTTTCAGCATGTCTCTTCTGCATCTTTGAATCCATAGATGGTGCAGCAAACTGAGGATGTTTAGTCTATTCCTTGCTTACTCTTCCTCTTTTTCTAGGCCAGGTAGTTTGAAGAAGTCATCACATTCAGTGTTAGGAAGCAGGAACTGGTGTTTTCTGAAGGCTGTTTTTGAGAGTGGATGTCTCAGAAGTGCTATTAAAATTACGTTCTCTTTAAAAATATTGCCTATATCAGTACTTGCTTTTTCAAATTAAAGTCCTCTGCAAGTAAGGAGGTTTGTCTAAACAAGATATATGGCTTTAGCAGTAATATAATGCACTAAATTTGACGGCTTGAGCAGTTTACTTGTAGAGCACACCTTCACAGGTCTGAAGTTTTTTAAAGACAGTGGGTGAATTGGGTCACTTGGACAGCACCGACTAGTCTTGAACACCTGAAAAGTGAACTAAGGCAGAATTATCCAATGTACTAGGCTCCTTTTTCACCACATTAACACCTATCCAAATTATGACCCAAAATACAATGCATCCAGAATTTTGGTTAGACAGTGATTAAACACTGTAGATGCGTAAGACTTGCTTGACATGTAGTGTCAATTTTATCTGCTACTTAAAATGGGTACAAAAAAGGGAGGGAGGAAGAGGAACACCACAGATCAGCTGGTGAAAATCATGGTTAAATTTGCCTTGAGACTATGCATTGGAGAAATAACACCATTTGTATCTTGTTATTTAGTGTGCCCACCTTTGGTTAAACCGAAGAAGAAAAGAATGGGCAAGCCACCTTCAAAACGCAGAGACATGAGACATGAGGTGGAAGAAGTAGAAATGTGGGAGCTGCCTAAACACAGCACACACAAAGGTTGGTATACAGTGACAAGCTACAAAAATGACTGTTACGAGCATTTTTTCTATCTTGGGGACTGATCTTGGTTTGAACTGCAGGGAAGCTGGATAGCTTGTGAAAGTTAAACTCAGCACTTAATCACCTTGCTATGAATGCCAGTGTAGCTTTGACCAGGTTAGGTTTCTTCTTTGCTTAATGTAAGGATGGGGGAGGAAACCCACACTGAAACTTGCGGTTGTAGTTTTAGTCTAGTTGCTCTTCAGACTGCTGTACTGTCTTTTTAAAGTGCTGGGTCCTGTGTCACTTTGCAGTATATGCTTTTATTTAAGCTGCTTATCTGCCTCAGCTCAAGTGATTTGTAATTTGATATAACAAAAATGCATATAGATAATTCTATAGATCTCCAACTTTATGGATTAGGAACTTCTGGTTATTATGGAGGAAGACAGGGAAAAATCAAAATGAACTCGATTCAGCAACAAATATGCTTTTGTGCATTTGTGTGAGTCTGAAAGGGTTATAAATTGAAAAGGGTCAGTAGATACAAGAAGCTATCTGAAAGATCAGTTTTCTTTCTGGAAAAGAATAAGTTAGAGTAGAAAAATGAACCCAAATGTTCCATCAGGAAATACGTGAGTAAAAGATAGTCTCTCTCTCTCTCATATAATAGACAAAGGATTAGAATTTCATCTTGGAAACGTAAGGAAGGTTGGAAACAAACTTAGGCTGAAGTATCTTACTAGTGAAAATTTGCATCAGCCCTGAAGATAGATTGTTTGAACATAGGTCTTAAATCTTTAATTGCTGACCAGCTTTTATTAAAAGCATCCAGGAAACTTGCATAATCCCAAAACACTTCTTGTGTTTTCCCTAGAAATAGCTGTTTCTTGGATACATTCAACTATGTAAGAGCACACTGAGAATGTGATATGCGCTTCATACGGAACTCTTTCTTATCTGTTATGCTGGGATATTCTGAAGTCCAAAACCACTCATGCACATTTTATACTAGCTGGGAAGTTGAGTACATAATTCTAATATCAACCATCAGTGCCTGCAATTGGAAAAGACAATCACTGGCATCTAGTCTTTTTTTAGAAGCAAATCGACATAGTTTGGAGGTGGAATATATACATACCTTAACTTTTTTTTTTTTTTTTACCTTTAGGGCATGGAACAAGGAAGTCCCTCTCTAAGAAGAGATAATTGCAAATATTGGGGCAGAAGTGGGGGGGAAAATACCAAAGGTTTCTTTGTATAAATCCAAGATTTGATTATTATTCTATTATATATTTTGTAAGTTGCTGTTCACTCTAAAAGGGCAAGAAGTGACACTGTGAAGACTGAGGACACAAAATGAAATGAAGTATTTACACCAAAGTCACCTTTTTATAATTAGCACATCCACTATTTAAATAATAAATTTCATAGAATTGCACTTTGAGACTTCTTGTGTTCCATCTTTACACAGTAGCAAAAAAACTTGAGATGGCCATGTATGTGCAAAACTGCCATTATAGCATGACAGTTATTGCTGCCCTGTCCTTAAACTCTCAGGTCTGTGAAGCCTGTCCATGTTATCTCATAGTCATATGATCTGGACATAAGTACATGACCCTTTTCTATCAGACGGATTTGTTTTTGTCAACATGTAAATGAATATAGTTACAGCTGTATCAAGTCAAGTGCTGTTTTAAACTTTCAAGGCAGTTCCTCAGATCTTACTCATGACTGAGGACTAAAACTAAAGCATTGAGTTATGTGATGCTTCCCTCTCCTCCCCTTTTTCTCTGGACACTTTTGAGTCCTTTATGGAGACCCTGAGCTGGAGATATGGATCTGAAAGGTAAAAGAAAAGTTTTTAGTGGTGTGCCCGGTTCTCTGACTTCTTACTGATGACTTCTATGACTTACAGCTGATACTGTTCCTGGAAGTCTCTTTATAGAACTAAGATGGTAAAATCAGGTCTGTGATGAGCTGTCTTAGGAATAATGGTAACAGACTGATCTAGATGAGGTGGATAGCTCAAAAATATGTACATTTTTCCATGTCTATGAAGGCTATTATTAATGTGTCAGAAGACTAAATATGATATTGCCAGCCTTGAATGATTCGCAAATAAAGTGATAGTGTCAGTGAAGGAAACAGAGAAACAAAAAAAAAAAACCCAAACCAACAACAAAACACACATCTGGTTTTCCTTCAAAAAGGGTGGGGTGAATGGACAGACAGAACTTGTCTTTTGCCTCCTCTCCCATGTTCTTATTCTGTCTGTGCCCTAGAGTAAGCAACATGGATAAAAGTAGCATTTCCTGTGATTGTTCAGGTTTTGGCCCTACCTATTACTAGTCTGACCTGTAACTGAAGTTATGCTGTTTTCCTTCTTAGTGAGGGGTACTGATGTTTCCCTACCCAACTGATCCCATCTCTCTATTATTTTTAATACCATCTGGTTAATTGTTAAAGCTCTGCTATAACTACAGCCTTTATCACAAGCTGTTAGAGGAAAGAAGTCATTGTGATGACAAGTTTTTGATTCCTTTTTACTTCAAGCAATGAAAGAAAATAAATGCATTAACAATTCTTATTTGGCTTCCGTGCTGCACAAAATCTCTGCACCAGAACATGAAATAATAAAATGAGGAATTCAAGCATGGAGCTTTTTAACACCCATTTCTGCTGATAGCCTTAGCTGTATCTTTTGCTGCTTATCTTATAAAGTAATACTCATGACCTCACAATCAGATGGCTTTCTTACTTTTGGGAATGGGTAATACTTGACAGGTACTCTAAATGATCATGTTGGTCATCCTTTTACAGGCCTTGCACTACTCAGTGTGATTTCTACTCAGATGCAAGAAGTAATTTAGGGCCTGATGATGCTCCTGAGAGGATGAGAGGGAGTAGCAGTAGCAGAGTTTACACTGCTCTTTTTCTGAAAACAAATGCTATTTTAAACAGGTTATATCTTGTACTATACCTGTGCTATGCCCAATACTTATAGTATGCGTGAATGCTCCAGTGTTCAAGAAATAATTCTTTGATAAGGTTATATGCAGTGTAGTGTATTCTAACAGTACCAGTCCTGTGACCTTAAAACTAAATCTTCTGCTCGGCTTTTTTTCATTCAGCAGCATGGACAATTTGTGGATTCCATCTTAACTGGCTTACAGCTGAAACTAATGTTCCAGTGAGTCAAAAGGCCATGCTTCACAAAGGCAGTGAAGTACAAACTGCATTTAAAAGGCTGGGAGTTCAAGCCCAGGCTCTTGTTTATTCAGCCAGGTAACTAAGGCACGGTGATATTTAGTTTTGCAGATGCACATACGTGTCAGCTTTTGTTTCCACTGCAGCCAGACTGACTGCCCAGTGACTCACTGCAGAGCTGGCAGTACTGTGAGTTTGTAGCTGTCGCAGTACTGCATTGCCTTGGAAGTTTTCACATGCTTCCTGCAGCATCTCCTGAAAGGCAGCTGAAGAATCTATTTGCTGCTTGGCACACCAGCAACAAACCTTAGAGGCCTCTGGGATTGCCATACTGAGAGCATTGTTTGGACAGACTTACTGTCTGTGGCTCAGGATTTCTAAATCATTATTTGTAGCTAACTGAAACCTCTGTTGCAAAGTGGGTGTGGTGTAATTATTGATGTGGAGCTCTGGGTTCTGTTGGCTGGCCAGGTATTAATTCTGTATTTTAATTTTCAAATTGGTAGCACCTGGATGGCATAAATTTTTTTCCCGTTTACAATGTCTGGTGTTCTGCCTTATACTGGAAAATATTAACCATAGGTCTTTCTATTAAAATCAAACAAAGGCAGAACAGAGCCAACGGCAAAAAAACAAAAAACCGAAACCCAAACCCCAAAAGCCTGTAACACTCATAAGCATGCCAACTGAAGGCGTACCAAGGAAAAAAAAATTCCTTTTTTTAGAGTACTTAGCTTCCCCTGACTTGCTGCCACTGGCTGTCTCACTCAAAAAGACTATAAACCCCACCTAACTGAATGGCCAAAGAAATAAGGAAAGTATCAGTATTTTACCTGAAATACCTTTCTTACAAAAATTATACAGAGTATTAAGATAAAAGACCTGGGAAGCTACCTTGCCTTTGAGGGTTGTTTTAGCTGCATTTAACACCTATTTAGTTTCATGGGACTACATAATTATGTTATTACTATCACTTGGGCTTCAACAGACCATTCAAATGGAAATAGACATCTATAAAGAAGGCCAGAAAAAAATGTTTTTTGAACAAAAACATTAAATGGTTATTATTTTAAAAATAAGGCTAGTCAGTCTTCCTATCCTGCTTTCTGGGTTTACTTCAACATAGAACTGTTTTTCATTAATCTAAAGGGGTGTTAGTATTTATCTCTAGTCTACATATTTTTAAAAGACTTATCTTAAATGACAGCTTTGGCACTGTTTAAAATGCCAAATGATGACGTGAATCATGCTTCTCAGCACTCTAGCTCTGGCTGTAAAACGAGCTCTTATAAATCTTAGTCTATTGGAATTGTTAAATTTTGAAATGTTACTTTTTATGAGTTGCAGTAAAGACCTACATGGGATATGACAGAGGCTTATAAAACTGGAAATGATATAGGGAGAATAAACAGGAATCAGTCACTCACATACCCTCCCGTGTAAGATTAAAGGTGTGTGAAATTAAACTAGCACAAAGCAGTGTGAAAGCCAATTGCTACAAATTACTAAACAATGAAGAATTCATTGCTAAGGAAAATGGCAAAGTTTATAAGCAGTGAGTGAATATAAAAGAAAATATATATCCAAGGCCACTAAATACTAAAATCTAACCCATGATTCTAAGTACCTGCACCATAGGTACTCTCAGCAGTAGAGGGTGAGAGAGCATTTCAGTGAAGCAACGAAATAATAGAAGAAATAATAGCAGAGTTTGCACTGCTCTGCTGTGGAGGTGTGTTCTATAAACCCTGATTGGAAAGATACTGATATAACAGACCTTTAGTCAGGCATAGAAAAGTTATTTGGCATCTCAAACATTTAAATTTGATTTGATACAAGTTAGAAATGGTCTCCTAATGTATTTTTCTTAATTGTTGAAATAATAAATCCTGACTGATACAAGGAGAGAGTTCCATTAACAAGGAAGGGGATTGCAAAGGAAAAACTGAATTTGTTTTTATTAAACTAAGCTTCAGAACAATCTTAAATGACAAAAGCTGAAGTAACTGAAGAGATCCTCAGTTAGCCCTGCTCTAGACAAGCCTGAGTAAGAGTTCTCTTGGAACGCATCAGGTCAATATCAGGCTTCTAGCATCTGTTCAATAATCTGTAAGTGCATTAATCTCAGCCCCAAGTGTGGCAATACAAGAATCCTAAAATGGGTTGGGTTGGAAGGGGCTGTAAAGATCATCTAGTTTCAACCCCCTGCCACACACAGGGCCACCTCCCACTAGATCAGGTTGCCCAGAGCCCTGTCCAACCTGGCCAAGAGAACTTGTTATAGAACTCCCCATGCTATTTCAGCTGTTAAATCTTTTTCTGGTGAAAGAACAAGACCCTTAGAATTTGATGATGCTGTTGATATAGGGAACTAACATGAGTCACCAGTAATTCCCACCACAGGGAGATTTGCTAAACGCAAGAGAAAATACAACTCTACTTTCAAGGTCTGGGAATATGATACAGAAACTTCTTGTAAGTAGGCCTTGCTTATCTTGTTTTTCCTCAGAACATATTGTGAATACTGGCAAGGAATGGGGGGTTATTTTTACTAAAGCACTCTAAGACATGTAGGAGGGAGAAAAAACATTTTAATTTATACTTTCCCTTGTCCTCTCTTCTCAAGCTTTGAAGAAAATAAATAAAAAAAAAATCTTAGCTGTATTGTAGTCTATGACTCTTTGATTTCACTGTTACAGTTCACTCTACTGTATCAGAGCTGTATCATGTGGGTTTTTTTTTCAATCTTAGTAATCAGAGAGACTAAATTCTATAGAAGTTCTTTCAAAGCAAATCTAGTTTTCTCTTTCCTTTTGCACAGTACCAATATCCATCATCTAGTTCCTCAATTCACAGCTCTGTACCTTGAGGTTTCAAAGAGAGTTGGTTACTGTAAACTGCTGTTTATAGCTATCTCCATTTTCCTTGTTGAGTCTGTAAGATTATGTAAAAGTGTGGTCAGTATGTAAGGTGTCCTAAGTACATAAAATGTTCTCTTCTTCCTGCTTACAAATTCTTTACTATTATTGTGGTTTCATGCATGTAGTTGAAAACCATTTTGAGAGCCTTACATATTTATATTCTTGTGAAATGATTAAAAAAAATGTTACCTCATCAAATCTAGTAAGCATAAAAAGTGGGAATTTATTACCCCCAAGCCTTTTAGAAAGGAAACCTTCCTCAACTTTTATCAAAACAATTGATACTGCAGAATATGCAGAAATCAATCTTTTTAATTTCTTACATGGAACCCCCCTTTTTAAAACTAAACCTACTATCTCTTTACAGTTAAGTTGAATATTTAACATCATTACACTTGGCTCCCACTTCTATGGTTTAGACACTGTAGATGTTTCACTTCAGGTGTTTCAGAACTGTGCATTAATGAGGGTGATATTGAGATTTTGTTACACACACACCAAAAAAAAAAAAAAAAAAAAAAAATCAAGTCTTGCTGATGTTGCAATTTTGTCTTAAAGTAAATCCCCTTGATTATCTTTTTTCCCCTGCAGCAGAACTCTTTATTTCCCTAGCTGCCAATATTAGGATAGGTATACAGAACTTCAGCACGTATGCGCAGAAGGAAATACAGTACAACCTGCTCATTACAAGCACTGTAAGGCAGCCCTCAGTGCTCTGCACGGTGCAAACTGCAGTCCTGTTACAAAGAGGCTTTGTATATAATAACTTCACAGAGTAAAGACACTTCAACAGACAGTCTGCTAATGCTACAGGCTTGTTGGTGATCCCTTGGTGGTCGCTGCTTTCTGCTGCTGGTCACAGGCAGCAATGCAGAGGCCCCATCTGACCAAGCTGGATGACTCTCAGCACGGGTTTTACAGCACAAGGATATGGTTTAATGCAGCTTTCTTCTTTCTGGCTGCAGAGGGGCAGAAGAGGATGCCAGTGTAGGATGCTGTATGCACACACATGTATGTTTCAAGTTTAATAAAGCCCTTTCTGGTGTTTTCCTCCTCATTCTTTGGATCTTTCCTCGCAGTTCACGAGTAGAGAGGTCAATGAGCATGCAGCAGGTGACTGCTGTCAGTCAGATCCTGACTTGTCATTAGATTTGGATGATTTACGCTTCCTCTTTTTCTTCTTCTTCTTTTCTTTCTTTTTCTTTTCCTTTTTTCTCTTTTTCTTCTTGTGTTTATGTTCTGAGGAAGTGGAGCTGCTGCTATCTTCATCATCTTCATCACTGTCATCACTGCTATCAGATTCTGAGGTAGAGTCCTCCAGGAGCTGCTTCAGTTGCTGTATCCTGAGTTTAAAATATGTGAATGAGAATCCTTTCTAGCTTGTCTTTCCCCCCTAGCTTTCGTCTTTCCTTCCTGGTTTGAGGAATGGTTGAGCTGCATGCAAAGGGCAGGGGAACACCTCCTCTTTTGCTCAATTACCTCTCATTACAGATAATATCATGGACTGATAAAAGCAACTCCTTTGAGACAAGCAGATGTTCTGCTTTCAGGGACTTTCCATCCCACTGGATAGGAAAGGCAGACTAACTTATTAGCTTATTTATGTGTGCAAAATAATAAGGCAACAGCTATCAGCACCACCCACCCGGTGATAAGAAGTTCTATGCTTATCCCTGCAGAAGATTATTTGGATTAGGATATTATGACATTCATTGTCCTGCAGATACAGAGAGGATGTCAGTGAAGCTGACAGGGTAGGCTCTACTCTGGATGCAGAAGTATTTTTGAAAGGCACTCTTCCTTTGAATTTGCAAGGATTACTGGTGAATAGGGACAAAGTATTTGCTTATTTTATTTTTGTCTCCTGTATACTCTTCAAGGATTCCTCTCCAAGAGCGCTGCTCTATGGACTGCCTAAAGTTTGTTCAGCTATCCCACTGAAGCAGTTCAAGCAAGAAAGCAGCAAAACCTGCCACTTTATATACTAAATAATGACCTCACAAAAGTAGCAATATCAGGTGCCTAGCACTAGCTTTCTAAACCCCTTCATTTCTACTGAAAATATTCTGAAAAACCAAATTTTAGAAAACATCTCAGTGAAGTCAGTGAAAGAAAAAGAAAATCAAACTGTTTTTTCACGTCTAAACCAAAAACCACACCTAAGTACCTCAATATTATGGCACAAATGCATACAACTGCTCTTTAAAATTTGTTCTGGGGAAAATACACAAGCTAAAGAATTTAAGTGATTGATAGTACTAAAGAGTGATTATTTAGAAAGTAGAAATGCATTCGTCTATCAACATAAAGAAATTGCCATTAAAAAAATGTTCTGAACTAAAAATAAATTTCTATAAAAAGGCCACCTATACATTAGTACCACATTACCAAAATAAAAATTAAATTGAAAATGCTGTTTACTACAGACACACTCACCTCTTTTCTTTTTCATGACGCTTATTTTCCCTTATTATATCATACATTGGATCTTCATGTGCCTTTAAAATGGAGAACAGGAAATGCAATGTTATCACCAATGGTTTTATTTCCTAAAAAAAGAAACAAAAGCAACCAAATGCTAGAGGCTTTTGATAAAAGACAGAATATGCTTAGCAAGCTGTTAATTCACTGTCAGCACTGTTCACCTGAACTGGTGTATTTGCTTTGGGAAAAGGCTATCTAGCCACATCTCCAAAGAAGGGGACTCTCCTTAGGTATGCATCTCCCTACCTCTCCAATCACAGCCAACTATGAGAATCCCACACATAATCTGTGGGAATAGCTAGATTTAGATAGAATACTCAAGTTCAAACTAATGATCTGTACCCTTACAGTACATTTAAAAAATTTGGATATAAACAAACAGGAATACAGGAGTAAGGAATATAAGATATGGATAATGAAGTTGGAGTTGTTCTATCATGCTGTGCACTACCATTGGTTCTAAAATCAAATTAAATGGGCATTGCAGCACAAGATAGCTGTGAAGGAATACAGCAAATAAACTTTGCAGACATTTAAGGTGGGTTCATGCCATGCAAGAATGCAGAAAAAAGGTGGGGTGGTCATTTCTGTTGGAAGATTAAGCAAACAAGTCCAACAGAGAGAAGAGATGGCTCATGCTGACCAGAGGTGGGAACAGAAATTTCAGGAGCAATTGAAAGATGTTGGGAATGCACCATGAAGGGCCTTGGACATACAACAACAGTTTGATGCAACAAAGAAGCCTGAGGGAAAATGAAGACTAGAGGCAGTCTGGTCATGGGAAAGGGCTAAAAATACTCTTTGCAGTTGCATACAATTAGTACAAATCCAGAACTTGGACAGACTAAGCCAAGATTACATTTTTCAAGGACAGAAATGAGGACATAAATGATGACAGCTTGAAATATAGGTCAATGATGCAGAGCAACAGAAATAGTTAAAGAAATCACACAGGAAGAATCTGCAGAACTGAGACAGAGCTTAATGCAGCAAGAGATCAGACTTGTAGACAATGACTGGATAACAGACCTAGACAACAGCATTCATGATGTGGTTGTTCACAGTGAGAGCAGAAGGCTTGAAGCAGCGGTAATGCTGTAAAGCTCAAGCTTGACTAAACATTTTTTGTTGACATTTTAACCACAAAAAAATAATAATGGTTGAAACAGGTTCTTGAAGATTTCCAATTTACATGTAAAAATTATTAATTTTCCTCTTGAAGAGTAGATTTTCTGCAAAGTAGTCAAACATCCAAACACACCTGTAGCTTTTTCATTAGGAGATTTTCGGCATCTATGTTATACTAGAGACAGAGAAAATGTCCTTAATAAAGCATCATCTAAGAGGTTTCTCTTCAGTTGCAAGATTATGCATTGTCAGTACTAAAAAATACAAGCAGTAATACTACAATATTGGTACTCACTACTCTAAATTGTTCCAATTTCTGATTGCCTTTAATAAAGAACGGGCATTCCTTATCTCCTGTTCTGTGTCCGTAACGTTTACATCTCCAACCTTTAAAAAAAAAAGCAGCAGTGAATCGCACCTCAGAGACAGATCAGAAGAAGCAAAAAAAAGCCAAAACCACATTTCTGCAAAATATTTTCAGTCTGTTGGAAGAAACAGAGAAACACAACCACTATGTTGATAAATGTAATATCCATAAAATACTAGGCTGAAACAGCCTTCAAGATAATGTTTGCTTTTCTATCAATATGATGTCAATCTACCTGGACTTCATCATCTGTTCACCAGACATTCTGCCCTCCCCCAGCGTAAATGGATGATATATGATGGTCCAACGACATCTGGAATATTTTCAGCCTTACACTGCATAACTTTGACTTCTTTTCCCAAAGGCATCCAAAGCCCTTTTGTTGGGGCATGTGCCAGGAATTCTCGTGCACTTTCATTGCCTGGTACATCAGGTATGCAGTCTTCTGGTTTTGTTTCATTCTCCTACAAAAAAAAGAACAAAAACAAAAACAAAAACAAAAAAAAACAACAAAAAAACCCAAAAAAAACCCAAACAACAACAAAAAAAAAACAAAAACAAAAAGCAGAAAGATAAGGACAATAAAATAGCTTACTATTTTAACTTTGCTAGAATTAACACTTCAAGTGTACAGACCTTCACTTTATAGGAAACATATTTCGTCCATTACCTTTTTACCTTGTAACACACAAAAGATTTAAAATACTTGACCCTTTCTTTTTTTCTCACCCATGAATTTTGCAGCCAGAACTTTGCTGCACAGGAATTTCAATCCTTCCCATCCATTTTAGTAATTTATTTAAATAAACATTATAAATGAAAACAACACAAAGCAGAGACTTTGTTATCCTCTTCCTGCTAAAAAGACATAACAATTACAAGGAAGCCCTTACAACACAGAGCAGTTATTTTTTTAGGTTAAAAACTTGACTTTATGGCTTAGGTATATAAATTTGGCAAAAGTAATGATCATGATGAAAGAATTATTTTGGCCTAAGCAGCAGAGAAGAAACCTGAAAATATGTCATTCAAACCAAAAATCTGCTTTCCATAAGTGGCTCCCCTCTACCCACACTATTAAATACTGCATGAAGTATGCTAAGAGATGATAAAAGACAAGGTCTCCTTCTATCTGATCCTGGGCATTTCACTCTGAATCACCAAGACAAAGTGGTCAGCTTGTAATGATTTTCTGAGTTTTTCCTGGGAAGCATTTACTTCTCTCTGTGATTTATATAGGTAACACAGACACTTAAACACCTAAAGAACAAGTTTTGTGAAAATCCCTCATAATCCTAGAAAATTACTGCTATTTACCAACCTTAATTAGCCCAGGGGGAGGTTTCTCATAGCTGAAAAGCAATAGAAATATTGTTACTCTGCAGCTTAGCACAGACAAATAAATTGAAAAAATACATTTTTTCAGTGGCATTGAGTTAAAGCCTTCAGGTCATATTTTTCCTAAAATTTTACCCTGTAACTTCGCACAGACAAATAAATTGAAAAAATACATTTTTTCAGTGGCATTACTGAACTTACAACTTAGTTGTAACTTACAACTAAGAACTACAGCAGAACATGGATAGAGCAAGCTGAGAGGCAGCATTTATCACGTTAGTACATGTCTCTTGCAAACATCCTTCAGATTCATATTCTTGTGGGAGCACAACTACTTCCTGGGGATATGTAGTACATTTGATTTAGCTTCAGTTACTACACATGCACAATTCTCTCCTCTTTTTCTGCTGCACACCTCCCCGAGGTCTCCAAACTTCTTTACTGCAGCACTGCTGAATCACAGACATAGCCAGCTGAAACTGTCAAGTCAGACAGTTCCTGACATCTAGCTTTGGCAGCCAAACTGAATACATAATAATTTAATCATCTTCTGTGCATTAAACCTAAAGACAGAACCCTACTGACCAAAGTACCGTATTTTCTGCAGCATTTCTTTGGGGTTAACAGCAGAAAAAACACTTGTTAAAATCCAAGTAGCAAACAGGTACTACATAGAGCACACAGCAACTGAGAAAATGCATGTGCTAAGGAGTTAAATGCCAAGGCAGTATGAAACTGTCCTGGAGGTAAAGAATACACATAAACATTACTTAGAAAGATGCAAGTCTGTATAACTGAATTTGTATTGGGTATTTCCCCCCCTCAAATCTCATCTGTATTTAAACAGATACACTATTTTCCGTCATCTGCTGCCTTAGTGAAAGTGTGCAATGATCTTAGAAGAAAACTGAGATTTTTTGGGGGTTGTTTTTCAACGAAACAAGAACAGCACTGTGCAAGCCCAGAGTCCCCAAATCTTCTGCTTTATGGAAGACTCTTTTCAACAGGACTCTCCAGACATTATCCACATGTTAACTCAGCAGGACACAAAACATTTGTACTGGCTGTGCATCATTTTAGGCTGTAAGTTTGATGGCATAGGCAATATTTTATTGGCTTAGCCGTGCACACACAGACACCCCTATATACCTATTGGATTGCTAGGCACAGTCATACTAATACAGTAAGAACAGCAGGGAAAATGTGGTTAAAGTATCTTCATCCCATCTTTATGGCAATAACTTCGGAGTGCTTTTTGGTGCACTTAATAACAAACTCATTTTTACTTGCACGTGGAAAAAACAAAATCATGTCCTTGTATACCTTCTGACCTTTTTATTCCGTTAAAACAATAAATGCCTTTTCAGTGAAATAACATAAACCTTTTATAGCACCCAATTTCTTTATCTTTTTTTTTTTTTTTTTTTTTTTTTTTTCCTAAAAAAAAAAACCCTTTTTAACCCCCAATTTTTTTTTTTTTTTTTTTTTTTTTTTTTTTTTTTAGTCCATTCTAGTGCAACAAGCTCTGCTCTGTGCTGCATCTGTCAGACACGGAGGAACCTGGGAGAGCCAACAAGCCCTTCATAAATCACCAAGCAACTATGCAAGTGGCCCCCAACCCCTTCAGCCGCTCACCCCAAGGGGACAGGGGAAGAATAATCACCACCCCACCCAAAACACCCCAAACCCTGCACTGTAAACGAGTCCCAAATGCCGGCGGGGTGTGCTCAGGGCAGAGCCGGGGCGGGAGCCGTGGGCAGCCTCCCCTCCTCGGCTCCTTACAAAGACTCCAGGTGCTGGATCTTCTGGAGCTGCTGCGCCTCCTGCCTCTTCCGCTTCCTCTCATGCCGGTCCTGGCTCCTGCCGCCGCTCGCCGCGGGCTCTGCATGGCTCCTGGCCCGCGCCTGGCTGCCCCTCGCCGCCGCCTCCTCCTCCGCTCCCTCCTCCTCGTCCTGCCCCTGCCCCCTGGGCGCCCGCTGGGCCATGGGCGCGGCGGCCAGGGCCGCGGCGGACGGCGGGGCCCCGGCGACGCCCCCTCCCCGCCCTCCTCATCCCGGCTTCCGGCCGAGCGCCGACTTCCTCCGGCGCCGGCAGCCCCCGGCAGCCCGCCCCTCACGGAGCCGGCCCGGCGCAGGGCTCCGCCCGCCCCGCCCTCCGCAGGCACCCCCGGCAACTTACCGGGGGTTAGGAATAGCGTGCGGAGTGGTGTGCCTTCCAAATCGATATTAAATCAGAGGAGGCCACCAAGTTGATTAGAGGGATGGAGCATTTTTCCTGTGAGGAAAGGCTTGGAGAATTGGGATTGTTCGGCCTGGAGAAGGCTCTGGGATGACCTAACTGTGGCCTTCAGAACCTGAAGGGAGCTACAAGAAAGCTGGAGAGGAACTTTACACAAGAGTGTGTAGTGACAGGACAAAGGCGAGTGGATTAAAACTGAAACAGAATAAATTTAGATTAGATAATGGGAAGAAAATATTTACTGTGAGGGTGGTGAGGCATTTGCACAGGTTGCCCAGAGAAATTGTGTCTGCCCCATCCCTGACAGTCTGCAAGGCCGGGTTTGATGGAGCTCAGAGCAATCTTGCCTAGTGGAAGGTGTCCCTGCCCATGTGAGGAGGTTGGAACTAAGTGATCTCTAAGGTCCCTTCCAGCTCAAAGCTTTCTGTGATTCAAGCACCAGGATTGACAGGTGTATGGATACGCATGGAGGAACATAGCAGTGGGCGGGCTATGAGGTGTCAGGGAGCAAGTGTCTCCAGGGTGGAGGGAAGGCTGAGGGGGTTGCTTCCCTCTCCAAGTTGAAGAAGCAGCTGAGGGCCCTCTGAGGTTGGGGAAAGGGACTGGGTGTGCAGGGAGGGCCCCGTCATGGTGCTCACTGGGCATTCTTTACTGTGAGGGTAGTGAGGTACTGGAACAGGTTGCCCAGGGAAATTGTGGATTTCCTAGAAGTTCCATTCCTAGAAGTCCCCAAAGCCAGGCTGGATGGAGCACTGAGCAATTTGGTGCAGTGAAAGGTGTCACTGCCTGTGGCAAGGGAGTTGGAACTAGATGATCTTAAAGGTCCTGTCCAACCAAAACCATTCTATGGTTCTATGATACTGTGCTTGCCAGTGACCAAAATACATGTGGCTGGAAGGAGGAGAAGTCAACATCAAAGCCAAAACCCAGAGGTGGGTTTGGTTTTTCTTTCTTTTTTTAATTTTTTTTTAATTCTGTTGTTTTGCTGTTTCAGAAGGTACGTATTGGTTATGGGGCAAGGTTCTAGCGCCAAAAAGTCCCTAGAGACTTTATTTTGGAAGCAAACCCTACAAGGTCTGGCTAGGGCCGTACTGCTGTGGTGAGACCTAACTGACAAGCAAAGGGTAACCTCCTCTTCAGTGTATGAGCACCACTGGCAAGGCCAATCTACCCCCAGCCTTTGCAGTTTCCTGCCTTGGCTGTGATCTCTCTCTTGGAGGATGAGCAGCAGAGGTAGATCAGTATTGGGAAGGCAAAGTTTAAATTTCTACTTTTGTTTCATGCTGAAATTCAAGGGCACGTGAGAATTTGGGAATTGATTAAGAGCTGAGCGAAATGCGAAAAATATATCTTAGAAATCCAGGAATTGAAGGTGTTTTTAACTGTGATCATTGCGGTGCTTCAAAAGTGCACATCAAAGGCAAAGGACGGTAACTGCTGTTACAGCACCCTGTGATTCTGAAGTGCAGTAAGACAAACATGATCCTGCGAATGCCTGTCTTTTACAACGCAAAAAGCAATCTCACACATTACTTAACAATGTAATATTGTTAATCAAGCACTACTTTAATATTTCTTCAGCTTTTACTTGGTAAAACCTTACCTGGGATGAACATTCACATGTCATGTTTCTCACTTGCATTCAGCTAAGTGGCTGCCATTGTAACTTCAGATCCCAGGAAACTATTTTTGTCCAATTAATTGTCACAGTCCTTTTCAAGGCAAAAGGTACTTATTTTAATGTTTAAACAAAATAATCTAGCTTTTGCAAGACATGACACTAATACACACTATTGATGAAGATTTTTATTTCATGCACCAAATTTTGTAGATTTACTGGCCCTGGAAAGAATGCAGTGGCCATTCTTCCACAGAACAACGCTCAGAAGCAAAGCAACATAACCTTGCAGATACACTTGTCCAAAAAACCAACTCCTCCAACCTATCCATCTGCCTGAGATGTCATAAGATGGTGCATAAGTTTTGAGTAAACCATTTTCATTCATCCAATGGGTTTGTAGACAGCTTGTGTATTTTCCTTAGCAGTGTGTTTTTGGGAGTAGCCTTTCCTTGGGCCTAAACTCAGAACAGGCTGAATTGCTGGCGTGTCTTGAAAAGGCAGATCACAGCAGCTGACTTGAGATGCTAAACTCCATTAAGACCCCTTGTCTAAAGGCTTAGAGGCAAAATCAGTTTATTTGCTAATCTGAGTTAAATATCTGTGTATGAGGCAAATGCAAGGTGATGTGGTTTAATATAATCCACTGTGAAGCAGGTTAAGTAGATGACTTGATGCTTGCTGGAGGCTAAGAGATTTGCTGCTGTGACACTGCTAGCAAGTGAGAACATGTCAAATTGCAATCACTCCCTTACATGGCCATGTATCTTCAAGCAACAAGTGAGGTAGGAGAAATATTTTTAGGTGTTGCCATTACATTTAAAATGTCTGAAAGAACTTAGGTAAGACACATTATCAAAATTTCACTCTATTTAGAGAAATGGCAATAGTTACTAACTATTATCAATAGTTAGGGACGAGCTGGACTGAGGCCTACTAAAAAGAGACTTTATGTTGGAAGCAAACTGAAGTGATATAATAGAGTTTTTTGGCCCCCCCTTTTCAGGCTGGTGTTGTTATTTTCAAGTGCTTTTTACTTCACTTTTTCAAATCAACAGAGTAGTCAGACTCTGAAACAGCTTTCCAGTGTGATAGGACAGTGACAGAAAACCTAATATGATTCCAAGATGCAGTGTTTCCAGTTCATGTATGGTATTCTGTGGGAGAGGTGTGTGCAACAGCAAAAGAGACAGGAGTTCTCCAGAAACCCTGCCAGTCTCGCTTTCATACACTCTTGACTGTCCTCACTTGGCTGAAGTAAGAAGACTTCTGCCAGTTTGGAGAAGGTAAGAGTCTGGCTTACATGACCTCAGATTCAATTGCTTCAGCCTTGACAGAATAATTGGCACAAATTCAGGAACTAAGTGCATGGTCTCAACAGAAGTGTGGGGTTCCAATGGAGGCAGAAGGACAGATCATAGTGTGTATAATCCCTTTCTTACCGTTAAGTCAATGGGATCTTGGCTGTGTTCTTTGCATCCCAGTGGCTTGGACACCCAGGCTGTAATTTCTGATCAGATCCGGACATTTGGATGTCATCTTTACTGCAGTAACTTAATGGGGAGCACAGGAGGTAAAATTCAATAGATACAGAAACCTGCCCAGGGACAGTGGATTAAATGTGTTCTTCAGTTTGATACAAATCATTTTCAGTGCATTTTCCCATCTGTCTTGGAAATGAACTTTATCACTTTATTACCTGTCTTAGAAGTACCACAGGCTTTTTTAGTGAGAGGAGATTATTTAAAACTGTAGATAACTCCAAAGTTTCTTTTTCTCCTCCTTCGCTGAGAAGAAACCCTGGATTCTTGTGTTGCACACTTACCCAAGAAGGCAATTTCTTTTCTATCAGTCCTTAGGAAAGATCCAAACAAAATTAATTGTGAAAAGGAGGGAATAGGAAAAAAAAAAAGTTACTTTAATTTCTATTTATTCTGAAGCAAAGGTGCTCAGTATCTGTAAGTTGCTTAAATCCATTCTATTTAAAGGGTTTATATTAACTGAGGATCTTGTTTGTGGTACTTAAAAGGGTATTTATTTGAAGTTAGGGGGTGTTTTTTTTTTTCCTTTATATGAATGCAGTGCTTCAGACATTTCAAGAAGTTAATTTTTTTGGGAAATGTTGTCTTACAACTGGTGTCATGGCACTGTAATTCCAGCTTCCTCCAAACATCTAAGCAGAACCATTAATTGCTGTTGCAATGTGAAGTACCTGAAAAGCCATTATTTTTCATGGTGTCCACTACAACTTTATAATGTTTCAGCTACAAGCAATAATACTGGGATCAAATTAATTTACATCCATGTCATCCCATGGGCATCAGTATTCCTGTGAGAGTGTAGCCCTGGCAGAATGTCAGCCCGTCTGCTTTTCTCCATTTTTGGCTGGCTAGAGCTTTGGGCCAGGATCTGTTTCTGATTATGTGTCAGATATTACGCATGAGAGAGGAATCCAGAACCCGTGTTAGGCTTCGTGGGAAGTTAAGCACCTCCTAATGGGATCCAGAAGAAGCAGATCTCAGCAGGCTGAGCAGAGCACAGTCCAAATCCAGCATGGCCAGTCCATGGCTGCCTGAAGCTAGATGGAGACATTCAGAACAGAGTGAGTCTAAGCTCTGGACCACTTCTAACCACAGGGACGGCTGCCTCAGAACAGCAGTGGCCCTTTAACCAGCTGGGAACCTCAGCTATTAGGAGAGGTGCTGACATTCTTTCTTACAGAGAAAAGTTTTGTCTGAAGTGGAAATGCTGGCAGTTTCTTTTGATACTAGTTTGCCAATTAGAAAATTTGGTTCCCTCCACCGTCTGGGTATTCAGCAATGGGAGTTCTGTGTCACTGGGATAAAATACCCCGTAAGCATCAGGCTAACAGCTGCACCAGTAGGGGCCATCCTCCTTTTGTACTGCCCTCTTTGGAAGCAGTAGAGAAGAGAATTTGAGATTTATGGGGCCAGAAGGACAAATGTGTTTGGATTTGGCTGTGAGTACACTAAGAGGAGTGCCCATCCAACAATGGACACTGCACTTCTTTCTGTGAGATACAAAATCAATACTCTAGAACAGAGCCCTGTTCTTCCCTGCTTAGCACCATTGCACCAGGTGACAATGTTGTGCTCCTAATTCCTGCTTCTCAGATTAATCTCACATTTACAACGATACTGCCCAGCAGTGAAGTGTTCTACACACCTGAACCTTTACTGTGGTGTTTGCTGCCATGTGTCATCACACAAGAGGAA